CAGCCCCCGCGCGCTCGTAAGGCGCCGTTGTCTGCATGCATCGAGCGGCGCGCGCCTCCTGGCTCTTTGCGAAAGGCCGTTGCCCCGCTTCGCCAAGCCGCTTCGCCACTCCACGGAAGCCGCCGCGTCCCTTTCGAAAAAAAACACCTCCGCGATCTGTTTTGGGGGAGGCCTGGGGTCGCGGGAGAGCCGTGGCCCGGTCGGGGGGCTGCGGGCTTCTGTGCTTCTGCCACGTCACCCTTTGCTGCAGTTGCTCTCGGCGGCGAGCGAGGGGAAGTGAGAAGGAGAAGGCCGTATCGGAAGGCGGTGGGGCTTCTCAGAAGCCCCCAGAAGGCCGGGGAACTTCCGAGCCTTCTGAGAAGGCCCGCCCCTTCTCACTTCCCCCCCGGCTCGCCGCAAATGCTCGGGCTGCGCAAAATCACGTTGCATCCTGTCGCGGCGGTACTTGTGAGAGTTTGCCGCGGCTTGTGTTATTCCTTGAGATGGGGGTGCGGGCATAAACGCGGGAAATGGTTCATCAATCCGGACGGATCGCAGCGGCTGCCGCGCATCAGGGCGACAGCGCTTTACCACAAGGAGACAAGCACGCTTTCAAAGTTGTGCTGCGCCACAGACGCCTCCAGTGGAGGAGGAGGAGGAGGAGGAGGAGGAGGAGGAGGAGGAGGAGCTGGAGGAGGAGAAGGAGGAGGAGGAGGAGGAGGAGGACGAGTTGCAAGGAGGACATGGTGGAGGAGGAGGAGGAGGAGGAGGAGGAGGAGGAAGTGGAGGTTTAGCAGACGCGCCAGCCATGCCTAGACCCCCCAGGCGGCCAGCTGCTCTCCGGCTGGCACCGCAACGCCGGGCTCGATGCGCCAGGGTGGCGGGGCTGCCAAGCAGCGCGGTGCGCCGGGGCAGCCAAGCAACGCGGTGGGGACCCAGAGATCCGATGTCGTGTTTTTTTCCATGCGCGGTCCCCGGAAGTCTGGACACATTCCCCAGGACCCGTTTTTCATCCTGAGTCGTTTTTTGGCGGTCCCGAGGCCTGGCAAGGGCCCCTAGGAGCCGACATTTGCGGAAAAACTCCGTCTTGATTTTTCAATACGTTGGATCTTTGGGGAGATCGATCGGGGGCACGGAGCCCCGGTCGGGGATGGGCCAGTCGAAACAACGGCGGCCCTCTCTAGCGGTGTGCCGTCCTGTTCGGGCCTCCCAGACGCTTGTCGTCTCCACGGCGGGATCTGCCTTGATCAACGGGTCGGGACGGTCCCTGGGAGAGGAGGAGGAGCTGGGGATTTGGACCGGCGTGGGGCCAGACGGGAGGGCCGCCGTTGATCCAAGTGGCCCTCTTCCGACCAGGGGGCAGCGAGGGATTGTGGGCAGGGGGCGGAAGGGAGGGGGACGATGATGGAGGTGCACGGAAGCAAGGAAAGAGTCTTCCTCCTCCGCCGCCTTCGCATCCCGCTTCACGACGAACAGCACGATCTTGACCCAGTACCCCCTCCCCGAGTTTGGCGATGCACCGAGACGAACGCAGATGGTTCAGAGTGCGGGTTGGAGTTTCATGATCAACAGGGCTGGTACGCACACATGCGTTTTTGCACGGAGGGCAGCCACGGTCATCGGGCCCTCTCTCAGCTCCTCGCGGTCACGAATCAGTGCCCCTGGTGCATGAGCACGCACTCGACCGTCGCGATCTCTCGTCAACACGTTCGACGTCTATTTCTCAAGCGCAGCTGTCAATGCGACCGATCCCCGATTCATCACGAGCCGATCTTACCGCCCACGTTCGAGCGCCCAGCTTGCAGCAAGGACCATCCGTCGCTCGAGGCTCTGCAGAGGCATGTACGCACACATATAGATCTATCCGACGCCACCTTCTCCTTCGCCGCATCTAATGTCGTGGGCGATGCCAGTCGGCCAGACGGAGCTGGACCAAGCGAAGAAGCGCCTAGCCGATTCTCAGACGAACGTTCAGCGCTGGAGGCAGCGGCAATCAGCACGAGCCGCGCGACCCCAAGAGCCGTCGCCAGCACTCCCCCAGGGGGGCAGCCGACACGGCCATGGCGGAGGACAGCGACACGGATGGCGAGACTGCGACAGAGATGATGAAAGGAGTTCTCAACAACGCACAGCGTCAGCGAGAAGTCGAAGGATGCCTCTTCAGCACGCACCTGTTGCCGAAAGAGCACGGCATCAACCTTGCCGCCATCGGAGCCGCTCAGAAGTACGCAGACGTGGTGAAGGACAAACCCGCGGACCACGGACTTGGCCCTCCCAGCCTGCAGGTGAGCTTGGCGGTTCTCGAGGGGCTGGTCAACCAGGAGACGCTGAAGCAGAACCCGAACCTGCAGGAGCACATGCAGTCAGTGACGAAGCCCATCCAGCACGTGAAGGTGCAGCCGATGGCCGTGGCATGCGACACGCTCCGCTACTGGAAAGCGAAGACCGCGTACGTGAAGGAAGGAACACCGCCTCTCGTCCGCCACACCTTCTTCGTCAACTCGTGGGTGCAGGGACCTGGAGGCCTGATGATTCCCTTGAATTCGGTTCTCACGGCTTTGTTCATGGCCCTCGGGAGCACGCCGAAGATGGGTCCCCCACCGAAAACCACCCAGGAGCGCCGAGTTCAGAATTCGCTGGAGAAAATGCTTCGCGGGGCCCGCCACAGGAAGTCCAAGTAGAGTCTCGGCGGGTCCTAGGTTCGATCTCTGAGCGCGGACTGGTGCAGTTTCAGGGTGAGTGGGGCCCGCTGGTGCGCCCCAAAGGCCGAGGCCGACATAGAGGCCGCGGGAAAAGGGTCTGGAAATTCTAGGGGTAAGTAGTTCGTTCGAATGCAGTCTTTGGTTGATTTGCTGGGGATTCGAGCGAGGTCAGCACCTCGTCTACTGCCCCATCGGTGCCCCAGCCTAGGCATTGGGGCCTGGCTGGCCTTTCTTTCCCCCTCTCGTTCTCTGCTGCCGCCGCCCCTGGCTGCCGCCGCTGTCTCTCTGGTCCTCTCTGCGTCTCCGAGATGCTGTCTGTGTATGCACGTACAGGCCTCTCGACCCTGTGCTGCAATCAGGGAGTCCCCAAGCTGATTGCTGGGGGAGGGGCCCCCCTTGTGTTTTGACATCGGCGGGAGCATAGTGCTTCCCGAACGCCCTGCGGCCAACTTCGATTCACGAACTGTGAAACCTGGCCATGCGCAGATTGCGAGCGAGCGAGCCTTCTCCTCCTCCTCCTCCTCCTCGCTTTTCTTTCGCAGGCCGACACCATCGAGCCACTTGAGGTCGGGCAGCGCAACAACCAAGCCCTATGGTAGATTCGCTTCGTGTCGGCCCGCGGCGACCCCGCCGCTGGCGTTCAACGTCGACCGCCGCCAGCGACCCAGAATTGGTTGATGTTGAACGATCTGACGTTTCGGAAACGGCCGCACGATTCCCCTGGTGCCAGAGACCAACGCTGGAGTCGTCGGCACGACACTGACCTGCCCTAGCCTTTTTCATCTTGGCTGTCGATCTGCACGCTGACCAAACCCATCGGGACCCGGAGCGGAACGTCAACCGCCTGGGCAAAGGTGCGGCGGACCTGCGCGACGCCACCACGCAGGACTTGCAGCGCAGGGTGGCGCTTTCCACGTCGACCTTCCCTGCAAGCCAAGGTGCCGGGCAGGACACGCTGGTACACCGCTAGAAGAGGGGGGGGGCCAAGAAAGAGGAGGAGAAAGAGGACCTCCTGCGTTGTTTTCCTCCTTCGCCTCACGGCCTCTGCGTTGGCCCCCGCTTTACGGTCTCTGAGTTGTCCTCTTTCGCCGCCTCCTGTTCGGTGCTCGCTCCGCTGCGCACTGCGGTGCCGAGCTCAGGAGGGTCAGGCTTGCTCCTCCTGGAGAAAAAAGTCGATTTTCATCGCACGCCCCTGGTTTTTTCGCATCAAGCTTTGTCTTGCGTTGAGGCGCCACGCTGGGTCGATCGGAGCTTCTGGCAGGAATCTCGGCGTCGACTGCCTCGTTGACAGCGGGCGGGAGCTCATGACATCCGGCCCCGTGCTCAAGGGCATGTCCCTCAGGCTTCAAATCAAAAGGAGGCATTCGTTCGCCCTGCGAGCAGCTGGTGCGGACCTCAGGAGATATGCTTGACGGGCTTCGATCAGTAATTACGGGATGTGCGGCGCTGGCGCCAAATGGCTGGACGAGAAGGAACTGCGAGAAGCGCAGTACTTGTTTCTCCATTTCTGTGGTGCCGAAGGCGACGTCAGGTCCCGCTTTTTGCCGTTCGCCCTGCACGAGGACCCGACCTGGCTGCAGGGCTTGGCCCGCCTTGTCGTGGTCCAGATGTGTTTGGAAGTCAGGGTTGGACCATTCGGCACGAGATCCACACCCTCTCCCTGTCCTCTACGCCCTCGCGCAGCCCATCCTGGACCCGCTTCTCTCTCTCTCTCTCTCTCTCTCTATATATATATATATATATATATATATATCTCACCATGGGCTGATACGCGGTCTCTTGTTTCTACCGCGATCCTTTCGCTGGGGCGAATTGGCTGGCGGTAGTCTACACCTTTCGCGGTCCAAGCGCGAATTTGCCTTCAATGCGTTCTCCAATAATTAGAACACAAGCTCGGCGACGCCTGGCGTTGCGCCCAGCTGACTAGCATTGCTGGAAATAGGCCTGGCAGCGGGAACTGATTTTAACCTGGGCGTGGCGCAGAGGTTACAAGGCAAAGCAGCCTCTTTCAGCACGAGCACGGTTAAGCACGGCGCAGAGGTTACTAAGGAAGACCCGCCTCCGTCAACACGCGCACGGTTGAGCGTGGCTCAGAAGTTACTGCGGGAAAAAAGCCTCCGTCAGCACGAGCTCGGCTTTCGATTCTCTTTCTTGAGCCAACCTTTATGGACAGGCCATCAACTCCAGCAGGCAGGATCTCCAGTCGACACCACTTGCAAGCGCGGAGGGCCGTCAGACTGTTTGTCTCATCGCCTACGCTATTGCCATCCACAGCCAGCCTCAGAGACCCTACAGTCGGGGCCCTGAAGAAGGAACCCTTTTGGTTGGGGAGGGGCTCCGCGTTCCTTAAGTGTTTCACAGCTTGCCTCAGGTTTTCCCTATGCTTTCGATCGGAAATCGAAGTATAACGTATGGAAAAAAAGTGGCCTCGTTCCTTATTTTTGGTTCCTTAGGTCAACCTCGTTTTCCCAGAAGTTCAACCTCGATTTCCCATGGAAAACCTCGGGACAACCCGAGGCAAATTTTGAAACAATCAAGGAACACCGAGCCCCTCCCCCACGAAAAGCGCTCCTTCTTCAAGGCCCCGACTGTATGCTCTCTCCTGCCGACGAGACTTTGCTGCCGGAGCGCCACAGCATCTTCCCGCCGGTGTGTGGTCTGCTGGAGCTCCCTGCGCCCGTCGCCCAACGGGGCCCCAGGGTCCTGCTGCAAACCTGGTGCAGTTCGGGCGTCGAGGTCCGACGCTTCCGTGGGGAGGAGGAGGAGGAGGAGGAGGAGGAGGAGGAGGAGGAGGAGGAGGAGGAGGAGGAGGAGGAGGAGGAGGAGGAGGAGGAGGAGGAGCAGGAGGAGGAGGGAGGAGGAGGAGAGCAGGAGGAGGAGGAGGAGGAGGAGGAGGAGGAGGAGGAGGAGGAGGAGGAGGGGGGGCGACGGCGGTCGCGCCGGCGGGCGTGCGGAGGCGCCCCAGGGGTTTGACCCCTCCAGGCGCGCAAGCATCGGGAAAACGTCGTTCTATCTCCATCACCGACGCTTTCGTGGGCGACTCGCTTCCAGTAGGTAAATGCTTCAAGGAAGGACCCGTGCTTTTTTCCACGCAGCGGGCAGGGCCGTCTCCAAGGTCTCGCCCGCGGTCGAAGTGCACGCGGCAGTTCGCTCGAGGTGGCAGCGGGCAGGGCATGCCTGCAGACCCCACCAGCCGCCGAGTGGATAGTTGCGCTGGTCATGAAGCACTGCCCCCGCGCTGCGCCCATCTCCTCCTCCTCCGATTTTCTCGGCCTGGTCCGGATGGCCGAGTCCCGCCGATTGTGCCTCACCGCCCGCCAGCATCAGGGCCGCCCCCAGCCTGGGACCACAAGCTGCGCGCATCATGAAAGTCCAGGCCCACGTGCGCCCCGAGCTCCCCCCGCTCACCTACGAGTGGTTCTTGGCTGTTGGGGGGAGACGTGGCAGATCGGTGCGCCAAGAAGTGGGTTCTACAGGCCTTGCCGAGCCTTCCGCGGCCGAGAAGTACGGTTGGGCAGATAGAGTGGCTACCCCACGACGCTACCTCGCGTATGCCGTGCAGGTGCTTCTTCTCTTCCCGAGGCTTGCCCCGTCTAACGCGATGCGCTCGACGTACGATCAGATCATCCGCCGGAAGGGCTTTGCCACAGGCGTTGGAGCAGCGTGCCAGGCTCTACAGCACCTTCCGCCCGGGTCAACCCCCGCCGCGCGGCCACCCGCAGACGACCGTGGAGAGAGGCGGGCGGCGAGCCGTTCGCTGTCACCAGCTGCCACGCGTGGGCGTGGAAGCGGAGTGCGGAGATGTTTTTTCAGCACATGCATGGCTTTACCGAGCTTCGCGGCCTTGCCCAGAGCACGCGTATCCACGCGGTTCACTTGTCTAATTGCTCCCTTGGCGACGTTTCCATGATGTGCAGCAGGGGTGGAGCATGCGCCGAGTCTGGGGAATTCAGGAGGCTCGGGAAAGATTGCGAACACACACTTTACCTCGTGAGGCGCTCAGCACGCGCGGCAGCGTTTCACCAGAGGGCAACACCCGAACAACATATTAGAATCGTCCACGTGCCTGAACGAGCATTGACCCAAGGCTGCAACAGTTCGGCCGTAAGTTCACAACTTCACCTCGCTGCGTAAGCAGATTGGGAGAAGGGGCAGGGGACGGAGGCAAGCTAGGTGCGCAAGCATCTTATCTGACGTCCTACCCCTCCCTAGCATCCCTTACCATGGCGTAGATATCCTCTCTTTTCGCGCACTCGGATATCGTGGCATGGCATATCATTACATGGTATAACATGGCGTTGAAGATCAACGCGTAGCATGACGTAGCATGGCGTGGCACTGCGTAGAGTGGTCTGGGTGGCCTGCACCTCTCTCTCTCTCGAATTAGGTATGTATGCTTGGCATACGAATGCATACATGCATGTGTGCACACATGCATTCATCCATGCATACAATCATAAAGACAGCCAGGCAGACAGGCAGACATACAGGCAGACATGCTTACAAACACACATACATGCATGCACGCATACATCGATACACACATGCATGCATACCTACAGGCACGCATGCATGCTTACATGCATACATTCGTACCATACATGCTTTCAGACACGCGTACACATACATACCTACACACGCGTGCACCTACCTACATACATACATACATACATACATACATACATACATACATACATACATACATACATACATACATACATACGTGCACACATACATACAGACAGACCGATATACATACATACGTGCATGTATGCATACATATATACACACATGCACATACATACACAAACGCATACCTATATGCATGCACACATGCATACGTGCATGCAATCATTTATTGCATGCGTACATGCACACGCGCATGCACGCATACACACCTACACACATGCATGCATGCAGCCATTTACACACATGTACTCACATGACTTCATGCATGCATGCATGCATGCATGCATGCATACATGCATCCACACATACGCACACAGATCTGCCTACCTACCTACCTGCCTGCCTGCCTGGTGACCTGCCTACCTACCTAGATACATGCATACATCCATACATACCTGCATACAAACATATGTACATACAGACATACACATTCACACCGATCTACCTACCGGCATGCATACATACATACGTGCATACAATCATGCATACACATAGAGTTACTGAGTTACGTATTTCCATGCATCCTTACACACATCTTTGGGTACATACAATTTACGCTTCCGTTGTTTTACGTATATGCAGAGAGATAGAGAGACAAATGAGAAAAAGAGAGAGAGAGAGAGACAGAAGAGGGGACGAAGCGCGAAAGAGAGAGAGAGAGAGATACACATGTATGAATATATCTGTATGGAAAGAGAGAGAGAGAGAGAGAGAGAGAGAGAGATGAAGAAAGAGGGATCAACATAGTGTGTGTATATATATATATATAGAGAGAGAGAGAGAGAGAGAGAGAGAGAGAGAGCGCGAGAACAACGACACGCATCGGTACGCGCGCGCGGCCGCCCGCCCCAGGCGAGGTGGGCGGGGACAACCCGTTCCGGCGCAAGTGGAACCCGCGCATCGCGGCGGAGAGGCGGCGGGAGCAGGAGGAGCAGGAGAGAGAGGCGCCCCCCCCGCAAGCGCCGCGCCGCCGACCGCTGGAGCGGCGCGGAGGAGGGGGGGGGAGGAGGAGGGAGAGGAGGAGGGGGAGGAGGAGGAGGAGGAGGAGGAGGAGGAGGAGGAGGAGGGGAAGGAGGACGGAGAGGAGGGGGAGGAGGAGTGGGAGGAGGAGGAGGAGGAGGAGGAGAAGTCGCAGCAGGAGGAAGAGGAGGAAGAGGAGGAGGAGGATGAGGAGGAAGAAGAGGAGGAGGAGGAGGAGGAGGAGGGGGGGAGGGGCGTGTCAGGGGCAACGATCGAGGAGGATACTTGGGATTCCACAGTAGCTTGGCATCGTCCGGGCGCGTGCATTTTCTCTCGGCGAGGACCATCGAGGATCATCTTGCGAAAAAGAAGCGCGCGAAGCCGAAAAGTGCACGGGCAATGGACGTCCGATCTATGGCAAGGTAAAGGGGGGGTGGTCTGCTTTGGGGGGGCTCTGATTTGAGCTGTCTTGGAGTGTTCCAGGTGGTCTGGGCAAAAGGCCGCCCCCTCATGGCTGGTCCGAAGAGGGTCTAAGATTGCCTGCCTGGGAGGGCTGTGGCCTGTGGCCCCCTTCTATGACGAAACCTGGAGCAGGTAGGCATCGGGGGGGGAGCATCGACCCCCAATCACCCACGGACCCCCGACGGGGGCCCGACAGCCCCGACCTGCCCAGAAAAGTGCGGAGCCACTGTCGGGCCGCCCATCGCCGATCTGTCGGTGACGTGTCGCCGATTCCAGCTCGACGTCCCCCCCCCCCCCCTATTCCAGCCCCCCCCCATCGGTGCCCCTCCTCGGGGAGAGGCCGGTAGGGGGCGGGAGCAGAGTGTGCGCCTGCGCCTGCATCAGCCTGCGGAGGCGGGCGCCCCGGCGCGAACGGCCGAACGACCCAGGTCGCGGGGCGCGCTGCTCGCTGGCCGCCTCGAGAATCCCTGGCTTGAGAGGCAGGCCGCGCAAGCAGGTCAAAGCGGAAGTGAAAGGTGCCACTCGCGGGGAGGGGCAGGTCGGAAGAGGGCCAGTCGAGACAATGGCAGTGCTCCCTCGCGTTGTGTCCACCTTTTTCGGGCCTCCCCAAAGCCCAGCGCCTTTTTCCAGGTCTTTCTTCAGGAGCCCGGCGCTCTCTTCTTTCTGCTTCCTCTCCCATCTTTCTCCTCCTCGTCCCTCCCCTCATGCAACGATGTCTGGACGCACATTTTACCAGTTCAAGTCCGTGCCCCGCATGGCAGCTTAAATCTGTTCGACCGGACCCGAATGTAACGTGACGTAGCAGGCCTCCGAGAAGCTTTGAAGGAGGAGTGCGAAGAGGAGGAGGAGGAGGAGGAGGAGGAGGAGGAGGAGGAGGAGGAGGAGGAGGAGGAGGAGGAGGAAGAGGAGGATAGGAGGAGAGAGGAGGAGGAGGAGGAGGAGGAGCAGGAGGATTGAGGAGGAGGAGGAGGAGGAGGAGGAGGAGGAGGAGGAGGAGGAGGAGGAGGAGGAGGTTTGAGGAGGATGAGGAGGATTGGGGAGGATTTAGGAGGAGGAGGAGGAGGAGGAGGAGGAGGAGGAGGAGGAGGAGGAGGAGCCCCCTCGGCGCGGCGGGCCACGGCCTGCAGCGCCCTCCCCGCGAGGCCGCGAGGCGGCGCAGGGAGGGGACGGAGTCCGGCCGCGGCCCGCCGCGGCAGGGCCCCGAGGAGGCGCCCCCCACCGCGCGCGGGCCCGCTCCTGCCGCCCTCGCCACTCCTCCTCAATCCTCCTCCCCCTCCTCTCCTCCTCCCATCCTCCTCCTCCTCCTCCTCCCCCTCCTCCTCCTCCTCCTCCGCCTCCTCCTCCTCCTGCCTCCGCCTCCTCCTCCACCTCCTCCTCCTCCTCCTCCGTAGCCATTGTGGCGCAAGCGGATGCTGCTGTATTGCCCCCGTGTTATTCTTTTCTGCTGATGTCGTCGCGAATGGATACGCGCGAATTGGTCTCTGCTCTTCGCACTCGGCTGCTGCGAGGCCTGGCCAACGCCCATGGGACGCATTTCCAAGGTTTATCTGCGGCAGCTCGGGCTTCACCTGACCTGTCGCCCAAGTTGCGCAACAAGATGATCAAGATCGATTTTGCATACCATTTGTGCGAACATGCCACACAACAGAGTATCGCAGATTTCATCGTGGAAGTTTTTGGTGCCGAGCCGAGTTCCGTGCATGACTTTCACTTTGGGCCATCTGTGGCGGCTCCGCGGTATCGCCCTCGCCCGCCAGCTGCTGGTCTGGATTCGACGGCCTCTGATTTTGTACCACATTCGCTGTCTTGGAATGACAGCGCCCGTCCTTCTGCTCAGCCGGCTTCGTATCAAGCCACGTGGTCTGTTCCAGAGGCTTTGGCGTCTGCTCAAACTGTGTATGATTCACAACTTCTCGCGTATTCTAACCTGGTCGCCGATCAGAATCACACGATCACCAAGCTCCAAGGGACGCTGGACAAACTCGCGGAAGCGCCCCATGCTACAGTGTCCTCTGAAGAATGTGCTGCTGCCCCTGCGAAGGTGGTGCCGCGCGGTACTGAGGACGGGAGTGCCGAGAGCAGTCCCTCTGCCGCCTCCTCTGGATCAGACGCGGTGTGGGACGAGATCGACATTGTCAGAGATGGGATCGACGGAGTCAAAGCCCAGCTCGATGATTTCGCCTGCCGCTTTGATGGCAGACTCAAAGATATGGTCACGGAGCTCTCCAATTTTGTTGTCAAGACTGTTCGTGACGCCGTCCCTGCAGCGCTCAAGGCACATAATGAGCCGACCCTCAACACACTGGACCTGCTGGCGACGCAGCTCACCGACCCGCTCAACAAGATCGATGTGCTCCAGTCCCAGGTTGCTGATCTGGACGCCTTAGTCAAAGGCACTCGCCGTATGGCGCCCGCTGCTGTTGGCCCTCGGCCTCCTGATGATGGCACTGCTGATCTGGTGTGCAAATTTGGACGGCGCTGTAACCGCTTGGACTGCGTCTTTCACCATCCTGAGGGCCGCCTTATAGAGGAAACCCTTGAGACCGCCAGGCCGGCCCCCGCCCCTCGCGAGCCGAGCGCGCCACGTGCGGCAAGTGCTGATGCCCCTCGGCATGCTAGCGGTGGACCCACCAGGATGGATCACCTACGTCGCCTATCGACTACGGCCGCTTCAAAGGCATCGTGCTGGAGGATGCAATGGAGGAATTCCTCACCATGCGTGGCCCCTCGCCTGCTGCCTGGCCTGGCGGGCCCTTGCTGTCAAGCTTACGTCCTGAACCAGATGTTGACTGAAGATAAGGACTGAGCTCTCTCGCTGATTGTGGTGCACCTGCCGCTCTTCGCGGTTCTTGCAGTCGGCGGCTTTTGGTTGCGTTGCTGTCGTGCGCCGCCTTTGTCGCCGCCACCGCGTCGGCGCTCCCATGTAAGATGTTCATTCTTAAGGCTTCCGCCTTCACTAAGCCATCCCCTCGGATCGCGGATTTTCTGTGTTTCGGGTGTCGGGGGTTATGGGGCTCTTTCTTTACGCTCGTCTCCTCCTCCTCCTCCTCCCCCTCCTCCTCCTGAATCCTCCTCAATCCTCCTCAATCCCCCAATCCTCGTCCTCCTCCTCCGCCTCTTCCTCCTCCTTCTCAGTCCTCCTTCTTTTCAATTATCCGATGCCGCCTTCCTCCTCTTCCGCAATCCTTGCCAATCCTCCCCCTATTTGTCATGCTCCTCAATCCGCCTCAATTCCCCGATCTCACTCACTCCTCCTGAATCCTCCTTACTCCTCCTCCTCCTCCTCCTCCTCCTCCTCGCCCTCGCCCTCGTCCTAGTCCTCGTCATCCTCCTCCTCCTCCTCCGCCCCCTCCTCCTCCCCTCCTCCTCCCTCTCCTTCCTCTCCTCCTCCTCCTCCTCCTCCTCCTCCTCCTCTCCTCCTCCTCCTCCTCCTCCTCTCCTCCCTCCACAATCCTCCTCAATCCTTTTCAATCCTCCACAATCCTCCACAATCCTCCCAATCCTCCACAATCCTCCTCCTCCTCTCCTCCTCCTCCTCCTCCTCCTCCTCCTCCTCCCCCTTCTCCTCCTCCTCCTCCTCCTCCCCTCCTCCTCCTCCTCCTCCTCCTCAATCATCCTCAATCCCCCTCAACTCTCCTCCTCTTCATTCTCCTTAATCCCCGCCCCCCTCCTCCGTCTCCTTTTCCTCCTCCTTCTCAGTCCTCCTTCTTTCAATTATCCGATGCCGCCGTTCTCCTCTTCCGCAATCCTTGTCAATCCTCCCCCTATTTGTCATTTTCCTCAATCCGCCTCAATTCCCCAATCTCACTCACTCCTCCTGAATCCTCCTTACTCCTCCTCCTCCTCCTCCTCCTCCTCCTCCTCCTCCTCCTCCTCCTCCCTCCTTCCTCCTCCTCCACAATCCTCCTCATCCTCCTCTTCCTCCTCAATCCTCCGCAATCCCCCTCAACTCTCCTCCTCTTCATTCTCCTCCTCCTCCTCCATCTGCTCTTCCTCCTTCTCAGTTCTCCTTCTTTTCAATTATCCGATGCCGCCTTCCTCCTCTTCCGCAATCGTTGTCAATCCCCCCTCCTATTCCTCATCTTCCTCAATCCGCCTCAATTCCTCAATCTCACTCAAACCTCCTGAATCATCCTTCCTCCTCCTCCTCCTCCTCCTCCTCCTCCTCCTCCTCCTCCTCCTCCTCCTTACTCCTCCTCCACAATCCTCCTCAATCCTTTTCAATCCTCCACAATCCTCCTCCTCCTCCTCGTCCTCATTCCTTCATCTCCTCCTCGTCCTCCTCGTCCTCCTATTTATCATCCACACATCCTTTTCAAGCCTTTGCAGGTTCCCATAATTATCTTCAACCCTCTTTCTCCTGTTCCCAAATGTTATGCAGCCCTCTTCCTCTTTCTAAATCCTCAATCTTTGTCGTCGTCGTCCTCCTCCGCCTCAATATGTTTAGCAATCCTGCTCAGCTCTTCTTAGTCCTCAACTGTCCCACTCCCACGTCTCCAGTAGTTGGCGCTCGCGTGAATGGACTGGGTTCGTTCGACATTGTTTCGCAGATATTCTTTGGAATTTCGTTCACATTAGACTCTAGATGCTTCGCGTAACCCACCAGCCCATCCAGAAACGATGCCCAGAGGAAGTGCTTCGATGAGGGAAGTGGGCAGCACACAGAGGAAAGGTCCCCCAGTGGAGGCCTCTTGCAGCGTCTTGGGGGCCTCTTGGCGGTCCGGGGCGCCTCTTAGAGCGTCTTGGGTGCCTCGGAGAGCCTCTTGGGGGCCTCTTGGGGGCCTCTTGGGGGCCGCTTGAAAACCTCTGGGGCGCCTGTTGGGGCCTCCTCGGGCCTCCTGGGCGCCTCTTGAAGCGCTCTTGGGAGCCTTGGGAGCGCTCTTGGAGCCCTCTTGGGCCATCTTGGAGCCATCTTGTTGAAGCCTCGGATGGCCATCGGAAGCGAAATGGCGAGAAAGCCCAACACAATGATTTTCTGGAGGTTTGGGAAGGGTTTGGGCCTCTTCGGGGCCTCCTGGGGGAGTTTTTTGGCCACGTGGAGCCGTCTTGGAGCGGTCTTGGGGCATCTTGGAGCATCGTGGGAGCCATCTTGAGACATTCTGGGATATCTTGAGCCATCTTGGAGGTCATTTTGGGCTCTCCCAGGCGCTCTTGGAGTCATCTGAAGCACTTAGTAAAATCAATGAGTTTGGCATTCTCGCCGAGGGCTTTTGGAGCGTCTTGGGCGCCTCTGGGGGACCTCTTAGGGCCTCTTGGGGGTCTCTTGGGAGCCTCTTGGGGGCATCCTGGAGGCCTCTTGGGGGCTTCTTGGGGCCACATGGGGCCATCTTGGGGCCACCTTGGGGCCTCTTGGGTCCTCCTGGGCGCCTCTTGGGGCCATCTTGGAGGAGATCGATCAAACAAGAGGGGTCCCTCAATCAGGCCCCCCCCCCTGGGAGATGCCAAAATGGGGCCACAACCCAAGTCAAACCAATGATTTTGGCTTCCTCGCCGGGGCCATCTAGGACGCTCCAACCCCTCGCGAACCCCCCCGTCCAGGTTCAGGGGAGGGGGTCGGGGGAGGAATCAAAACTCCCCCCCCGCCCGCAAGCCGTCTCGCTCACTCCCACCCGCCCTCCCAACACATACGTAGCACCCGAGTCTGGCCCGAGCCTCAGCATATTCAGCAGTCGTCTTTGGATGGGCCGCTACTGGGGGCCAATCCGCCGCCTCCGCCGCCGCCGCCGCCGCCGCAGTCGCCGCCGCCGCCGCCGCCGCCGCCGCTGCCCGCCGCCGCCGCAGCCGCGCCGCCGCCGCCGCCGCGCCGCCGCCGCCGCCGCCGCCGCCACCACGCCGCCCGCCGCCGCCGCCGCCGCAGCCGCCGCCGCCGCCGCAGCCGCCGCAGCCGCCGCCGCCGCAGCCGCCGCAGCCGCCGCAGCCGCCGCCAAGTGCACTGTGTATTGTTTATTGACAGGGATGGTGGGGGGAGGCCGCCTCCGGTTGGCTGCACATGCTCCGGTTTTGGAGGCAGAGTGTGTTGTGTATGGTTTTTTGCAAGGGATGGTGGGGGGGACTCATGGTTCCTGGTTGCCTACCAGTCGCCTGGGGGAGGGGGTGTTCACTAATAGGGAACAGTGATAAACCCTTCCCCGAAGGGGAAGCAGGGGGTTGAAGAGGAAACCCCTTAAACCACGTACGCCCAGGGGGCTGGCGGGACTCCGACCCTCCA